GGGTATGTCTTTGTCATAGTAATAATCGTCATAATATTCTTCAGAGTTTTGGTCCTCTGACTGTTCCTGATTTGTTTGAAAGTTGGTTAATTCTTGCGATAGACAATTCCTAGGACCGGTGGGTTGGAAGTAATTATTATTATACTACTGCTTACTTTGTGGTTGTTGATTTATTCGAGAAGGTCCTGCTGACTGGACGGACATTGGGGTAGGATTTGATTGCCTTTGATTCGTATTCTTTTGGGAAGCAAATACATTTTTAGGTTTTCTAAAAACTTGGGCGTTTGTGGGAAAATATTGTTTTACTGGTCTAGGTTGTATAAACGGGTTGAGAAGGAAAAGTTTGCTTTGAATTATTTTGCTGTTTGAATTGCTGAGCATTTTGGTTGAATGACTGCGAATCTGAATGATGATTAAAAGATTTATTATAATTCATAGATTTTCGCTGTTGATTAAAAGGTTTTTGGGTAACCTGATTTTTCAAGTTTATTTGCGATTGAGATTATAATTTGTGACTTGTACAAGAGCAACATCTAAAGTATTAGGGTTGTGTTTAAGTAAAATCGTTTTCAAAGATTCTGGAACATTTATTTGACATTAAAACAATAACTGCAGTTTTTTCGGCTTGTGCTATTAAAATTACCTTTGAATTATTATCTATGTTTTCATTTTGAATTTTAGAATTTATTCTTTGCACAAATAATTTTAATCTTTGTACAAAATCTAATAGTTCTTCGTGCTTGTTTTTATTGATATAATTTAATTGTTGCATCAATGTTTGGTATCCTATTGGATCTCCATATTTTTCTCTAAGGGCTATTTTGATATCGGCCCAGGTTTTAGGGTCTGGCCTACTCATAATAAAATCTCTAGATTTTTCGACTAACTTAGAGCGTATAACACTAAAAAGAATTTTTTTCTGAATTTCTTCGCCATTATAATATAGACTATGAAATTCGTCAATTGACAAAATAAAGGATTCTAAGTTTTCTGGATTTCCAGAAAAGGTAGGTAAAATGGTTGCAAAAGATCGCAGAACGTAGAACGTCTATTTTATCTGAATTAATTAGGCTATTATTAGAAAATAATTTAATTTCCTCTTCATCTTCCTCTGAAGATGAAGTATCAAAATTTAACTTATTATTATCACTAGATTTGCTAGTACTAGAAGATGCAAGATCTAACTCTGAGAATAATTCGCTCAAATTTAAATCGGATTTTCTAGTTTTTCAGCAAGTGATAATGATTTTTTATTATTCTTGGTTTTTAAGCCTAGTTTTTTTCTATTTGAACTTAAAGCGTTTTTCAAAAGTTGTGTTGTTTGGAATCAGGCATGTAAAAAATACGGCAATTTTAGTAATTACTTACATCAAAAGGGGCATCAGGATGAACCATAGCATTTTTTATCAAGTTTTATCACAAAAATACACACAACTCTTAACTTTTAGCAGCAAAAGTTCAAATTTACGCCGGTATTTGTCACGCACGAATATCAGTCTACTGATTTCAGAAAAAATACTTGAAATCTTAGGATCCACGGCGACACTTCGGAGATTGAAGAGTTGCCAGAGTTTCTTTCTTCTTTTTGAGCTTTGTCTGATGGCCTCAATGCTTAAAATAATAGAGGGGCCAAAGAATTCGACTAGGAGTATTTGAAGTTCTTTTTGGTATAGTGCTCAAGGTATAAAGATACGCCAAATCTCAACGAAAAATCGATACAGACTTGGAAAACTATCCTGTTCGCCATAGCGCCAGTTAAATACTCAAACCAGTAGAATGCTTTTTAAAAAAAGATTTATTTCAATAAGACTTAACTTACTGGTACAGTGTGTGACTAAAGACTAAACTTATTCTATGTAAAAAGCTCCCATGAAATAATAAAATACAAATGCTTATTCTATGATTATGCTGGGTCGAGCTATATATTCCTGGTATTGGCAGTTCACGTATTGGTTCATGTCTATAACTTCCGATTATTTTCTCGAGTAGTTGAATTACAATAATTATTGCAATTTAATTTGCATTGAAACGCGCTCACAACTCATAAGCGATCCCCACTACCCTACCTGGCAGTAGAGGAGATGCCTAGCGTTATATGTTTTTGTAGCAACTCGCCTGAAATGAACTTTTTCTACGACCGTGCCCACTTTTCCGCGCTCATTTTAGTTCAGAAAGTGTCACTTTCCCGTATTCAGTGCGAGAAAGTAACTTTGTAACTAAACTATCTCTTCATTACCTGATTTTACCAGTCATTCTTTGTTTGTAACTACAGGTTTTTTAATGTTAATGTCAGTGTGCGTCAAACTTTTGTTGTCTCATTGTTTTAAATTTTGTAATCACTTTCACTCAATATATTTCTTAATTATTGGTACATCCTGCACATCCGTTTTCTTGGCAATTCAGACACTCAGAAGATATTTCAATAAAAGAAACACTATATTATATTAATAGAACGTAGAAGATTCCAATCCCCATTACAACTTTTAATATAAAAAAAATTCTGAAAATTATTGACGCAAAATATCCATCGTCAAGCAGTCATTCGCAAATCACAGAAGAAACCTCGTCTCCAGTGACTTCACCTGCAACCGATGACTTGGCAATGGCGTCGAACACTCATCCCAGCAGTAGCAATATTACAAGTTTATTGAAGAATCAGTACCTACCTACACTACCTACCTAATTGTTGTCGGCGATTGATTTGCAAAATGCATCCAATTGCACTTTCACAATAAATATTCATGATAATAAATTAATGTGGATTATTTAAATTTGTGCAATATATGTTTTATTAAAAAAACGCATATTTTCTTTGTGCCCTATTTTGACACGGTCATAGAAAAAATTTTGATCCTAACTCAAGCATAAAGTATCTTTCCCGCCCTTGACTGCTTGCCCGAACTCCGCTCCGCGTCGTTCAAGTTAACGGCACCCGTGTGCGGGAAAGTATAACTTTTTGCACTATTGTTAGGATAATAACTATACCCCAGGTAATTAAAGATGAAAATTTTGCAGTGCTTTAGGTTATAATGTAAATAAAAACAGAAAAAAGTGTGATTAAATTTGAAATATTAAGGTTTCAATCAATTTCAAGTATGTAGGTCGATCATTTAATAAGAGTACCTAATTCAATTATTAATTAGGCGATTAAAAACAATTTTTCAATTAGTTTAATTCAATTACCGACAGCTCTGTTGTAACAAATACAATAAGTTGCAAAATAAATGTTTTTAGACCTAAATATATCAATAAACATTGAAACATGTAAATCTACGTGGCTCAGAACCTTAGACCCAGAACGACAATTATTAATTTCTCTACCGTTTTCAGGAAATACCAAAATGAATTCAATGTTCTCTATAACAGCGGTTTTTTGTGTATTTTTAGGTAAATATTTTAGTTTTTTGTTTTAGGTACCTATATAAACCAACAGTATGGCCAGAATTTGATTGTGTACATATTTGTTGTGTATTCCTCACAATGTTTAAGTTCTGTATGTCTATCAAACGATAAAAACTCTGTAGAATATCATTAGAAAACCACACATAGATATTGATTTATGTAGTCTCTCAATAACTACGAATAACAATAACAATCTAGAAATTCACGAAGCTAAAACGCGTGCACATAATGACATAATGCAGGAGATACATCCCTCAACTTCTAAAATGAATTAAATTTTAGTTTTCTTAAAGTTGGGTCATAAATTTGTGGAGTTGTTGGTACATACGCAATAATTGAGTGTCTTATTTGTCTGGTATTGCATCGCGAAAAGATAGCTTTTTTAGTCGAACCAAGGGGTTTCTAGGTGCGCGGAGTAGGTGACAAAATTTTAAAGAAGACTTCAAAAGTACCATACAGGACGTCCAATACTATGCAGGACTATACAGTTCTTGAAAAGTTTATCGACTATATAGTAGGTATTTCAATACCTACAGGACTAAACAGTACTTCAACAGGACTGGTGCTATGCAAAAACGGAGGAAAAGAAATATTCTCTTTGCTTTTGTGTTTCAGATGAAAACGAGTGAAAATATTTTCTTGAGTACCTACCTAATAGATCTTTTCCAAAGTTTGTCTTTTCTCAATAACTCCCCAGGTTCGACAATACTTGAATAATTTCGGAAATTGTAATATTTCTCATTAGCAACGTAGTTTCACCTCTCTTTTGAACGTTTAAACTATTTAGCTTGTACGAACTTGTGCAAGACTTGTTCAAAGGACCTTAAAAACGTGGGTAAAGTGTACAAATCTGATGGTACCTTTGATGACCCCTCTTGAGTCAAATATGGAAAGTAAATTATTGGTCAGTTTGAGTAATCAATATAGTCTTCAGGTTATCATTAATAAGTCATTGATGTGGTGAACAATTTATCCCAATCTAAGTTATTAGAGTTTTTTTTGGAAAATACAAGTGTTGTGACACGGTCAGATTTACGCAATATTTGGTGATTTTGCTTGTCCTCGTCAGTGAAATATAAGCGGCAAACACACCAACTAGCAGTGTCTTGGAGCTTTGGCTAAACGCTTGTGTTTTCCAAAAAATCCTCTAATAACTTAGATTCGATACACTGCCAAGTATTTTTTGATTCTTTGAAAATTTATTTTCAAAAATTAATCCCAATTCCAAACATAATCTTTTCTATTGTAGTTGCAATGGTCAAATGCTTGAAGTGACCCATTGCTCTCAGTTATATAATATGTTATCATATGTATTTTGCTTATTCTACAATCACCTGTTAACTGTTTGCGTTTTTCTGGTTAGAATGGTTTTACCTATATTGAATGAAAAATAATTAAGCCATCGGAAAATAATGACTCGAATGAAGATTTTGTTTTCAATCTATTCGACAGGCGCAAATGATATTGGAAGAGTTTTCCTTAGCTTTTGCTTTGTTGTGTTGCGCTTAAACAAGTCTTTAGGTTTGAAAAATAAAACCTCCAAAGCACAAATCAGTAAGTCCTATTTAAAAATATTTTTATTGCACTAACAGTTCTTTTCACAATGAATCTTGTTTCACATCCACATCAGATTTCTTCTTTTTGACTTTGGACTCTGGAGCATTTGGATTTTGTCCCTTGTAAAAATCCTTTAGTAACTGCATCGCCTCCTCAGACCTGTACCCACCTTTTACTATTGTAACTGGTTTTAAAATCTCTGCCACGTCAAACACTGTACTCCCTCCGAATCTATCGTTTCTACAACCAAAAGTTACACTGCGCACTTTCAAGTTGTACAAGGCTGCCGCACACATTATACAAGGTTCCACTGTAACGAAAACATCTATTTCTCGAAAAATTTCCATATAATTTTTAGAGTTTTCTTTGGAGTAGTTTACAATTTGGTCGATGCAAATCATTTCGGCGTGGCGAGTAGCCGATTTGGTTTCGTTGACTTCATTGCGGCCCACAGCTAAAATTTCATTTTTGTGGACGAATATGCAACCTACAGGTACTTCTTGGTTTCCTAATGCTTCTTTGGCGAAAGAGAATGCTTTTTCCATAAAGAACTTTTCATGATCGGTTAGGTTTATTATATCTCTTGACATTATTGGAGGACTATTATGAATTTGGCCTTGTTTTGTTCCTTCATTCATATTTTCATACTATATTCGACCCAAAATATTTTTCTCTTATTTTTGGAAAGTATACGTTGTTTTTGTTAATCGCATTCATTAAACTTGTAGCTTCATGCAAGCCCAGATCTGAAAATTAGATTTTTTACATTAAGCCAGTGTTTGATAATGTCCAAAGTGAAGCGAAGGACACAATAAAATTCAAATGAACAATTTATGAGGGCGGAGAAAAAAAGAAATACAATAGGTGTCCTACTACGAACTACCAACTTCCGCGATCGATTTCTCAGAAAATAAACTTTGGAAAATTTTGATAAATTGACAACATGGCAATGTCGATAGAGGCCATCCGGGTAAGAAAGAAATTATTTCAACTTGACCATGTAAACTAGGGCACCCTATATATTATTTCAACTTTAAATTCTACGCAAAATTCTAGACATAGGTATTTTATAAATAATGTCCTCTGAAGGTCTAAAAACCTAAAACTGTTTTTCTACAAATCACCCTGTATTTCGGAAACTAATAGAAATTTGGCAACAGCGAAAATATATTTTTAACATCCTTCGAAAATGGCAACTGTTTTCTAATCTAACCGTCCTCGTATCTACTACCGTTTCCGATATACCATTACCAATGGTGGCCCTTGGTATTTTAGACACCCCGTATATTATCTAAAATTCATTAGTTAGGTTAAAATCAGAATCTCAAATTGGCGCGGGTTCCTAGTTCAAAAATTAATGCAATGATGTCTTTTATGGGGACTCAATTTTCAATAAAGCGTCTGTAGACGTGATAGAAAGTTTATTAGGGAAGTAAGTTGTATAAATAGTTTTTTTAATATGTTAATTGACTGAGAGAGTGTTTGTTCTATCGCATTGAAATTGGCATGCAAGATTTTCACTTGCTAGAAGGCGTCTATATTCATATTTAAAGTAAGCAAGAGGTGGGGCAAAAAATTGCGGTGCTTTCAATATAAATATAAAGAACCAATCAAAAATAAGACAGCAATTGTCGGCACTGTGAATAGAGTCACTGTACACCATCCTATATCGGTCATTGTTATTTTCCATTCACTTAAGAAAGATGGCTAACTCATCGGTTAAGTCATTGATTAGGATAAAAACGGGAGGTAAATCGAAATTGCAACAATTTGGGAAGAAATAATTCATGATTAAATTAAATTAATCTGCGACGCCACTGGTATTTCGTTGAATCCCGGGATAATGCAATGACTGTATACTTCTTACACAATATTAATTAGGTAGGTGATTAAATGCCTACCTAATCTTAATTCTAATTCAGTTTTACTTACCAACTTTTCAATCCAGAGCACATAATTTAACAAAAAAAAAACGCGTCCACTCGTCCACATAACATAACCTCAACGTCCTCAACAAAAGGCGAGTTTGATTGGTTTGTTAATCGTCCACGAGTTGAAAGATGACGCTGTTAATACAAGCCCATGTGATATTCCATTTGGAGTTGAATTAAAAATGCACTAGTTCCGCACTGACCGCACTAGATCTACCAATCGGAAACGCCATAAAACAGATCAGATCACGTGGAGCCGGTAATCTTTTTGCTCGCGGAGGACCTTAAAAGTAAAAAAGCGCCATCTGTCATTTTTTTTGTTTACTGGATGCCAAAGCTTCTTACATTACAGATTTCTTGAGGCGATAAATGGAGAATAGAATTTTAAAAAAAGTGATTCTTTTAAATTGGAATAAGAATTTTTTTTTCAGTTCCTAATGTATATTCCGAGGTATATTCCCGTTACCACTGCCGCATTGTCGGCGGTAGATGCGTAAAAATTGAAGACTTCCCATACCAACTAAGTGTAAGAAGGAGTGAGATCTTTGGTGTAAGGTAAGGTAAGCTTTTTTTATCTCTGATAATTTTTTGAAATAGGGCAATCCAACGACCTGTCAAAACGAAATTCAAAATGGAGGTCAATGCCTTTTTATTTTGAAAAATGCCGTTTTATTGCGATTTTTGATTTGTATAAACGGAAGCCGTTCTTATCGGGAGAATGTCTCGTTTCATGCCGTTCCTACAGAGACAAAACAGGTTTTTAACGGAGAAAAAAGATTTTATTTGCAATCATATATGTAATCTTGTCATTACTTACTTTTTAAAAATTTGGAAGTGACACTTTACCTGTGTCACTTCCCTCTTCGATTTCCCTCACCGATTTCCCTATTCGACTTCCCTCACCGATTTCCCTCACTCTAATTTATTTACCTTTGCTGGCAACAATGAGAACATGTCAGGTAAAAACGTCAAAGCAGTCAATGACACATTTTGGCATGATTGTTTTATTTTTTTAGTATTAAAAAAATTGATTGACTAATCATAATTATTAATGTTGTGCTTGCAAATAAAATAGTATACAAACCTCGGAGGAAAGTTTTCATTTCTGTCTCGAGATTAATAGTCAATCTCGACGTCTCGATTGACAATATAAATCTCTCGCCAGTAATGAAACACTTCCCTACTTGGTATATGTAATATACTATTTCTGTATTTTGTAAAAGGGCTTCATGGATTGTAGTAAAAGAGAAAAAGTCTGACAAAATCCATATTAAAAAACCAAAAAGTCTCTCTACATAAACGGTGTATGGATCCAAGCCATTTACTATCCTACACATCAACTTGTGTCCATACCTGCTTGAATAGCAGACAAATAAAATATAAAATATACATCAGGATTCAGGATTTTGTTAAGAAAAAACTAAACAAGAAACAAATCCTGGATAGTAGCTAATCTTAAAACACCACAAACCGCGCTTGTTGCTAAATTCATCTAACTGGTGCACCGCCACGGATGCGGTGATTGAAATTCACTGCCATTGCCAAACCATAGCTTGTTGAACCCTGTTTAATGTAACAACACTGCTTTCTCTACCATTCCACCATAGTGCCTACACGAGTTGAATTTAGCCACACGCGGAAAATACACAAAAAACCGGTTTTTGATCAAAAATGTCACGGTTGTTTGAATTAAATCTATGGCGCCAATTTTTTGGCATTGGCCGCCATTTTGTTTGGATTGCCCTATTAGGCAATTCAATCCATCTGTCAGATAGGGAAATTCAATATGGCGTGGCGGCCAAGCAAGTTTGTTTTGAATGTGTTTTTATGCGTATTTCAAATTATTTTGCTTAGAGTTTTGCTTGCAACTTTGATTTGGACTATTTAATAAAATATTTGTTGACTAGGTACCTAAACTAATAAATCGAGCAGATTCTAGATATTTTTTTCTGTTTTTTGGCCCATGTGTGGCCGCCACGCCATCTTGAAAGTCACGTGGTTTGAATTGCCTAATAGCCCTATCATATCCCTAGGGGCAGGCTACTAGGTATATAGGATGTAACCTGACGAATTTGCAGGCGTCCGTATGCCGCAAAATGACATCTATTTAGCGCTAACTGGTGACAACCAGGTAGACATAGAATAAGGTTTAAGTGGGGATATAGAATGGTAACTCCCATGTTAAAAAAAAGTTTGTATATGTGGCGCCTCTATAGGCTTGGGTCAAAGTAAAATGATTTTGGCGGGATATTTGAATTTGAAACTTTCTTTGTGGATGATCTTTTTCGGCCTTGATCAGATTTAACATTAGTTATTATATTTATCCCTCATTATTAGAAATAAATATAATATGTAATAACCAAGACTGATCTAGTCAACGCCAAAAACGTTTTTTGGATAAGATAGGAAAATAAAACTCGTGTCTGTCAATCGTTGGACTGGATATTATTACCTCACGCTTTACCTACATTGGTTCGTACCTTTAATTACCTACCAGAGATAAATTACCTACCTATCACATCACCTAAATTCTACTGGTCCACTCCACAGATGTCCACTCTCAAATGTGACAGACGCAATTTTTTTTTTAAATAATTTTTTGCACTTCTTTTGGATATCTCGTTACCGCACGCTTGTAGATAAAATTCTGTATATAATACGTATGGTAATTAGGTTATTACCGCCCTTAGAGATTGCAAACCTCGCCTCACCGGCTTGGTTTGCAAATTTCTCTCGCGTGCGGTAATAACCTAGTTACCACACTTATTATATAATATACTATTAATTTAGGTTCATATATAAATTATAATTGAACTTTTTCTGTTTTTCTTCACATCAATTTCATCACCAATGGGATTGACGCCATGATAAGGATAAAACTTACCTGAACTAAAACTGGGTAGAAGTAAAAACACTACGACTCATGAAAATGACTACGTTCACCAGAACCAAAACAGTAACAGATTGTAAACAATTTACAAATACCAACAGAATACGTTGGGTAAACTCTTGGTTCTGCTGAACGATTCAACTTTTCAATGATAGAACGTCACCCTCTGAATGACAGGTCACCACACAAAACACAGTATTGAAAATATAACACTCTGAAATTAGGCAATTCAATCCATCTGTCAAAAAGGAAAATTCAATGTGACGTGGCGGCCAAACAAGTTTGTTTTGAATATGTTTTTATGCGTATTTTAAATTATTTTGCATACAGTTTTGCTTACAATTATGATTTTCATTATTTAATAAAATATTTGTTGACTAGGTACCTAAACTATTAAATTCGGGCAGAAACTAGATATTTTTTTGTGTTTTTTGGCCCATGTGTGGCCGCCACGCCATCTTGAATGTCACGTGGTTTGAATTGCCTAATTCTGCTTGCAAAAATGGCGACCGTTTGCAAAACATGTTTGGTTTCAACATAAATTCAACGTAGCGTTCAGCAGAACAATCGCAAACCGTTTACCAACGTTTGTATCTGGTGAACGCGGCCTAATGATTCATAAAAAGTTTGATATTCCCTGCGTTTTTATTCTCATCAAATTTTACCGATGGATCCACCATTCTATGTCGGTCATTGTCATTTTCCATTCACTAAACAAAGATAGCTAACTCATCGGTGAATCCACCGATGAGAATAAAAACGCACATAAACTAAAAATTGTTTGACAACCGACCGACTAGTATGACAGCTGATAGCGTCAATATCCAAGGGCGTTCACTAAAATCTATTACCAGCAATGCACATGCGCGCCCCCTGAGCGGCTTGGGGCACATTAAAAGTGGCCAGGATCGTTCAATACAAGTGCGCGTACCACAGGTAGAAACAACCAAGGAGAAGGACCTGTCACTCAAAAAGCATTCATTACACCATAGCTGCTTTCGGGTGACACCGTTTGAGCGCTCCCGAGTTACTCCGAAGTACTCCGGCTACAGTTTGACCCGTTCGGTTTCAAGCGTTCGAGTGCAAAACGCACGGAGTATGACAGGTCACTGACAGGTGTGAAATGTTCTAGGAGCACCCGAAAGCGGCTCAAGTCACAGCACCGAGTTACGACATTTATTTGGAGAAAATTATCCGATAGATTTTTTTCTGCATTGCCACTGCTAGGGTTGCTAACAATGGGCTCTTTCACTAATTTTTGAAATTGGCATATTTGGATAAAGCAACTAAAAACAGAATTTTCTGTATTTTTACTTTTGAAAAATTCAAAGTCCTTCTTGAGAAAACAGAAAACAAAGAAATACCTCCAAATAAAAACCCAGAATTTATTTCTATGACGTCGCAGCTCGCAATTTGACCGTGTTGCCACTAATTGTCAACATTGAAAATTTGTAATAGATTTAATTCTGAAATGTTGGCAAAATCTCATGAAAAGTAGTTAAATTAATTAGTTATAGATTCAAGATTTTATAACATTTTTTTTTTAAATTATGCTTAAATACAATTTAATGCAATTTTTTATGTTTAGTTTTATTTATTTATTTTACGCTGCACTACATTTAGTCACAACCGACAACAGCGCATTCGAACCTTTACGTATCTTTACAGAGCGCAAACACAGCCGAGCCCTTCCTCCTTGCAACGACATAAGCGAAATGAAGAATATTTATGTGACGTCGGCAAATCGGCGCGTTTTAAAATAGTTTGAATTTAGGCACTTTTGATTGCCTATGAAAAACTTAGTGAACCTTGTAGAACATTTTTTTTTTGGTATATATGCCTAAAATAGTCCCTCCTTTGAGATTTTATACTTAAATTACGTATTTAAATTTTAGTGAAAGAGCCCATTTTCAAAAATACGGGTGCGTTACTCCCCGAAATCATAACGTCCAGCAAAATAATTAGAAGCAAGAAGCAAAAGAAATTATGTTGTTGGATTGGAATAGTCACCTAACGAAACTCCAACTTAAATCGACTCGTGCGCTTGCGCACGAGATTGACTCAAGTATACGGAAAGTGAGTAGGCTACTGAAAAAAAAATAAGTATCATTCGTACAAAGTACGAAACTCCCAAAAAATTGATTCTGAGGACAACATCAGGCGAATAGAGTTTTGTGAAACTGTTATGAATAAGGCAAATGAAAATGAAGATTTCCCTAGAAAAATTATCTTTACAGATGAATCAACATTTCAACTCTATGGTTGACAGAATCCTAGTCCCAGCCGTTATTGGTCTAAAGAAAATTTAGATAGGTATTTTCGGGGGTATTTTGAACTTAGAACCCAGCGTCCCCAGAAGGTAATTGTATGGAGAACGTGTTATTGGGCCGTAATTCATTGATGGTAACTTGCTTGGTCCAAAATATATGAATCTTTTGCAACGGCAAATAGAAATTAGAAGATAAGCTGGTCCTAGATTTAATGGAAACATGATTTGAACAAGAAGGTTGTCCAACCCATAATACGGGTTTCATTCTGGAGTATTTAAATAATAATTTTCCAAGCCGTCTTATTGCTGTGTCGTGTCAAGATCTACAATACTGTAGCCAACCCGCTCTTCTGATCTTACACCTAAGGATCTCGGTGGTTATGGCAAGACAAACATTTATGTTTTGAACATGAAGAAGCTGGGTTCCAAAATTTGAGAGATCTATCTATCACTCCTGTGATGCTAAATGAGGTTCTTAGAGCATTCTATGATCGTAGGTCATTGTTTAGCTCAAGAACGAGGACTTTTTGAACATTTGCTTCACTAAATTATACACTTTTTTTTTTTTTCCTAAGAACGGAAAAAATACAATCATATTAGACTTTGCTATGATGATTGTTTCGGTTCGAAAAAAAAAACTATTGATAACAAAGGCTCAGCTATCTACACCATCCAGACGCTACGTTTTGCACAACGTTTTATCTGCACAGTTCAACACGTTGCAGACCAAACGTTGTGATCAGTAGTCTGTAACGAAGTGTCTGGACCGGGCTTAAGTCTGTATCATACATTGAGGTAGAATGAAAAGGAGACGCTGTCACCATTTGAATAGTGCAATAGATAAGGGCAATGAATAAGGGTATCGGTAGGCGTGGCTAAGGGCACCAACAATGGCTGCTTAAACAGAGCCGAACTAAATGGATTCTTTATAATTTTTATCTGAAAATGTAAAAAATCTACAAGAAAAGAAAATAGAAATTCAGCGCTCCAAAAATGTTTCGCATTTAAGACATCTTCGGATGGAAAATGCGGCCCTGATGCATTACTGTCACGTTGCTATGACAAAAGTGACAGACTCTCAGACACAAGAGGACTAACATTATGGCGAAAGTACGGACACTTTTTTCTCGTTATTTCGCTTCCCTATTATTCTACCTCAATGGTATCATAAAACGTACTGAAGTGCACAAACTCAACGAATGTCAAAGTCATCAAACGAACCACAGCGACAGGTTTTCAAACGGCTGCGGACGGTCGTAAATTCGTCAAGCTGGAGCCTATATACCTAGTCGCTTGCCCCTTACTGTATATATATTTTTTTCTAAGGTTAAACGACGATTACATCTGTGGTGCGTCTTTGATTGCTGCAAGATACAGCTTATCTGCCGCACACTGTTTTCAAGCAATAGCATTATACAGTGTGAGAGCTGGTAGCGATCTTAGCGACAGTGGGGGAACTATAACGAACATTTCAAATCAATTTGGATACGATATTGCAATTTTGGTGTTTCAGAATCCTATAACGTAAATTTACACTTCCTGTCTTGTTCTTTTTTTTTTACCTGCATGATTTGATTTGTTAGTTTTAGCTCAACGATTCAACCAGTGAAACTATCAACAAACAATGATATTCTGGCGCCTGGAATGAGAGGCACAGTATCTGGATTTGGACAAATTTCTTTTTCAGGACCACTCTCAAAACTTTTAAAGGCCACTCAAGTGACTGTTAAGGATTTTGAATGGTGCAAAAACCAATACCATGACGAAATGTTTAAACACTACCAAATACCTTTTACTGAAATGGTGTTTTGTGCTGGAGGCGATATGGACAACATTACAGATTCTTGTGAAGTAGATTTTCAATTCGTTTTGTTTGAAAATGTTTCTATTAATTTTGATTTAAGGGAAATTCAGGAGGTCCTTTTGTAGTTGACAACCAGTGGCGGCCAGTGGCAACCTAGTGTGGTTGTGCGCTCTTGGAAAATTTTTTGGAGGTGCCACGTCCTGTTTTACATTTATTTTGTATGTTGAATTTTTTTATCTTTACTTTAGGAAAAATTATCGAAAACAAAAATATATGTATTTAAATGAGGCTTGAATGTTTGTATTCTAGCCATAATACATAATTGATATTGAAATTTATAATTAAAAAAAAAACCGCGAACAACAGAGTTGTCAAACCGCCAAAATGGTGAAAAAACATCGAAATATTCTCGATTGAGTGGAAACAACATTGGAAGTGTGTATTCAAATAGCGCACGGCGCATCCCTTTCAGCGGGCTACTTACCGTATATTCCCGATCAATCGCACAGCGAGAAAACACATTTACCCAGAGCGCCGAACGATTCCACACCGACCACCCGGACCACCAGCACAACCAAGCGGGAGAAAAAAATACACAAGACAGGCGCAGGGCGCGCTTTCGTTCCGTTCGTGCGAATTTAAAAATAAAAAAATGAGTAGATATTTATCCTAATTTAGAAAATTGGGTAGGTATTTTTTAATTGAAGTTTCTTTTCTTTCCAAAATTTTAATTTTATTTTCTTGCTTGGTTTTTGGAGGCAGTGCGCGCGCACGAGCGCACTTATTGAGAAGCCGCCCCTGTTGACAACGTACTCCATGGTATAGTTTCATACGGATTTGGGTGTGCCGAACCTGAATATCCTGGTGTCTACACAAGCGTAGCAGCATTGAGAGATTTTATTTGGCTCAATACAGGAATTTGAAAAATTGTGCTTAAGCATCCCGCTATATGATAGAATAAACCAACTAGGAAGAGGATAAATGTTTTTTTGTTTCATATACATAGTTATACAACTCAATTGATGCACTTGCTTAAAAAGACAATTAATATTTATTGAGAAATCTATTAGTAAAAAATGGTTATTTAGAAATCGTCATCATCAGAATCCAAGGCTGCCCTTCTCCTATCAAACTTGACTGAAACTTTGCTTTGCGTTTGTGAGCTAACATTTTCAAGTAGTCCGATTAGTTCTTTTTCTCCTATTTTTGACATTATTTGACCAGATTGTGCCATTCTGACCAACATGTTTTGCACCAGCTGGCCTTTTTCTGGTTTTCCTAACATTAAATTGCTCACTAAAAGAATTACATGTTTTGAAGTAGGTATTTTAAACAATAATTATGAATTATTATTTTATAGGAATATTAGTTAACTGAAAAATATACTTACATCTGGCTCTAGCATTCTGATCCAGAATTTGTGACAAAATGGAATTTTTTGCATCTTCCTGCTCTTTTGCTTTTTGCTCTTGAGCTCTTTGAGCATTGGGATCAGTGTTAGAACCCTATAATATAAAATATTTTCAACCCATAAATGTCTACAGGCCCACAGACTAATTTGGCGCTTGTACTACAGAAAATTAACTGACTACGCTGACAGTAGCAATAATTCTTGTATAAATTATGTGCACCGCACCGCAATGCAGTCGGGCAGCGGTTAGTCTCCACGCCTTAAGCTCCTCGAGGCTACAGGACAAATTTTTTTCTCTCTAAGTTGAGTGTGACTTGCTACAATTTGCCTGAGATTCTAAGGCGTATGTCATACTGCAGAAGCCCCATTCAATGCCCCAAACCTAGGCCTATGGAAACTAAGCTCCTCGAGGGTACATTTTCATAGAGCTGTTTCATGTTTGGGTACTATTGATAATAGAGATGAGCTAAGTCGCGAATTTTTATTCACAGTTATAACTGTGAATGCGATTTTTTATTCACTGTGAATATAAACTGCGAATGTAAACTGCGAATGACGTCATGATTCTTTTGGCTCCATACGCCGTTTTGCGATTGCGACGTTAGTAGGTATGTTGTTTGTTGTTGTGTATGATAGATTCAGGTTAAATATGCTATGTGATTGCTTCTGTTTTATGATGTAGAGTAGCTTTAAGGTGATTACTACGAATGATGCCATCCTATAAATTATTAAAAATTAAATAAATAAAACGAAGCAAGGTTTTTTTTAAAAAACCTATAGTAAATAAATGCGCTAAGTAAAAACAACTTCGCCCTTCACGGAATAAATGCCTTGCTTGCACGCAGGATGCGGCGTATAGCGATTAGCAACGAGACGATGCGAACCATCAACGAACGCTCATGCGAACGCGGTCTAGCTAGCATCGAAGTGATAGTGAACAGTGAACGCAGTAATTCGCTACATTCACTATTCGATATCGCTCTGTCTCTGTTCGGTGTGTGTAGTTCCACGAGTTCACGTCAGCTGTTCGCAATATGCAATATTCGCAGTTTATTTTAAAATAGTTAGCAGATTGCGATTGCTACTTTTCATTCGCAGTGAATTTTTAGCAGTTCGCGATTTTCTGCTCATCTCTAATTGATAATGTAGGGCTTTGTGTAGAAACGGGCATTCCAAGGGAATGTTATAGGATGGCCTCCCAGGGAAAAACGTTTACTGCTATCTATTTTTTGGTAAACCCTATTTAATCATCTCCTACTTAAGTTGAGGTATAACAATAGATGTAACTACTAACTAGTGGTGAAATCTTTCCTTTCCCCCCATAACCTCTTTTCAGGATAAACCCTTAGCCGACACAGCCAAGTGTAGATGAAGTGGTGGCACCGCTGACCACAAATAACTTAAAACGTGACAATATATTTCAATGAGTTGAGTTGGATAGAAGTGATTTAAAATAAAAGCCAGCATAAACTATTCAAAGATTCTGCCAAATGGGAAAATTTTATTAAAATATAATAGGAATAAAATTGGGTAGGTCGCAAAAAGTGGGAAACCGTATTTGGTAAAAAAATACATAAATTGTCACCTTGTATTGAGCTTGTAATTCGGCCATTCGTCGTAATCTTAATTCTTCGAGCTCTGCATCACCCATCTTATGTTTTTTTAAAAGTTCAGATTCTCATAAATTATTATTAAAAAAATAATTTCCAAGAACTTTTCCTTTTTCTCTATTTACTAAAAAGATGACAGATGAGATGAATGAAAATAATTTGACATCCTTCAGGTGGACAAAATTTGCAGTACTAGAGCTGGGTTCGGCCTTTTCAATCCAAGTACTCCGAAGCCACTGTGACTGTTCGGGTGAAACTTTTTTGCGTAAATAGAGTAACTACGTTTACGTTGCTCATTCCAAAAGTTAATTTTAGCCACAGATGAGATGAATGACATCATTTTGATATCCCTCATTCCGGTGGAAAAAATTTAAAGTACTAGAGCTGGGTTTGGCATTCTCACTCCGTGCACTCCAAGTACTCCGAAGCCACTGTGATTGTTTGGGTGAGACCTTTCAGCGTAGAGTAACCAAGAGTAACTACGTTTATTACGTTGGGTTGCGTTGCTCACTCTAGAGCCGCTTTCGGGTGTAGGGCGTCAAGCTCCTATTTAGAACGCCCCATTACAAACGCGCATTGTTCCCTTTACACCCGAACGCATACTTTTCTCAAATGAATTTGACAATGTGATTATGAAAAAGGTAGGTGCTTTAGAGGACGGGGACGAGAAAAACTAAGAGCAGCTCCGGAGCGCGAAATCTGCGCAGAAGAACGGGCCAAAGCACGGACGAAGTACTTCGGAGTAATTCTAGAGTGCTCTAACTGTAGCAGCCGAAAGCGACTCTGAAGTTCATTTTACCTTGCGTTCGGTATTCTGCTCAAAGAGCAGAGCCTGCTGAGCGGAGCCGTAATCACGTGACCAGCGAGTGAACAGAGCAGTTGAACACTGTATCTGAGTGCCCAAAATCTCAATAAAGGAACGCAAATGAGCCTGCACCGAGTACACTTTTCAAATAAACAAACGGTAAATTCAAGCTCGGAGAACTCAGATCCAGATCAAAATACCGAACGCACGGTTAGCCGCTAGGCGCCGCCACTGCATCCGGCATTAGCTCAAGCCGGCATCCACCCAAAATATAAACAAAAGATCAATAATCCAAAAATATAATTTAAAAAAGCTTCACAAGCAAATTGGATTATAATTTATTATGAGGCAAATTCATTAATGTATGAGAATTTTATATTTTAAGGAATACTTAACGACATGAGTCCTTGTTACATTTTATTGTTATTTTTAGGTAAGTACCTATATTACAATATTTTTTTTTTTAAATTCGGAATGCCTAATAATTTAGTATCTACAACACCAAAAAATTAATTTCTATTTATCCATGAATACTTAGGCCCAGTTGTACAGTCTTCGTTCAAAACATAATTCAGCTGAACTCGACTGGAACTTCCCCATTTGAAATGCATTGCTGTCAAAAATGATAGAATTTGATTAATAGCTGACAGCAATATATTTTAAATGCAGGCCCGACGAGAGGGCATTACAGGCGGTACAAATTACCGGGGCCCGGGCTTGTAGGGGGCCTGGATAGCTTAAAACGGATAACCTAAACCTACTCAACGAGCTTCTACAACAGTATTCCATGATTTACACAGTCAAAGGCTTTTGATAGGTCACAAAACACTGCCGTAGCCGCCTCTCGCGGCCTCTCTCTCGTTAAGCTGGAAGTACAGATCTTCAAGAGATGCAAAAACTGCATCACCAGTGCCTACACCACTCTGAAACTCAAACTGAGCCAAACTTAACAGTTTGGCTCAGAAGTATCCTCACCCAAATTGGAATTACAACCGCCTCCTTGCCCTCCTTCAATGAACTTGGGAAAAAACCGAGAAAAAAAAAATGGTCTATGGCACCAAGCAAACCATTAAATACAAATAAATATGCATATACCTAATCATATAAACTGATTTGGGTATTAATTTACAGTAAATTAGTGCCCCTGCTGCCTTCCTTCGAGACAGAAACTCTTTCCTCTAGTATCCAAATTATTTTTGCTGCTCTAGGAAGAATCTTCACATTCTCCCCCCTACGAAAATAGATTTTTTTGTCTTGCATAGGCGAGCAGAAGCGAAAGTGAAACATGCTTAATAGTTACTGGCTATGTTCCGATATCAACTGCCAGTACTGGATTTACTGTGCTGATTTTACTGTCATTTGCCGTTCCGATTTCAACAGCATTATCTGGGGGTCATTCATTACTAAATCAGTATACTGAAAATAATATTGGAACAGCATCCAGTAAATTCATTGCTGATAGTTGATATCGGAATATAGCCACTTTCACTTTCTCTACTAGCATGTTTCACTTTCGCATGTCTATTCACAATTTTTGAAGGAGAAGAATGAAAAGTTTAATACATTACACGCTGCAAAAGCCTTTTTAGGTGCTCGGAGGTATTCAAACTGCAATTTACTATTTTTAATAGTAAATTAATACCCAAATTCTCAAATTAGGGAATCCAAACCACGTGACTTTTGCCAACCAGCCGGCATTTTGAAATTTTTATGAGGTTAGAATACGGGTTGTTAAAGTCTGTTTTTTTTTAAAGATAATTCCCCAAGTCAAAAATTTAGTAACTATGTTGGCAACACAAGCCTTTTCTACATAAAAAATTTGAAAGCATTGACAATTTTACATTGTATTGCCAACATAATGTCATTTTGACTTTTATCTTTAAAAAAAAAAACAGATTTTACATGTCAACGATGTCAGAAAATTGTCAGATTGATAAAGCCTAGTACTCATAACCGCAAAATTCGCTCTTTTTTAACATTGCTTCGACAATTTGACGTTTGATTCACGCATAAAACGTCAAATTGTCGAAGCAATGTCAAAAAAGAGTGAATTTCGCTGTTATGAGTACTAGGCTTAATCCTGACAAAAAAAAAACATATGTTTTTTGTTTATTGTTTGCCAACCAGACACCATTTGGACAGGTCGTTGGATTGCCTAATTCTAGTTTATGTCATGCTACAATACAATACAAAAATTACAACGCAGGCAAGCAGACTTATACATTAAATTTTAGCCCTGATATAATTTGTTACATGTCCTATAATTAAATTCAGCAATTTTGGAGATATCGCTTATCAATGATTTTTCAATATAAATTACGAAAAAAAGTATATTCCATCGTTGGAAGCTGGTAAGAGTAGTAAGTTCCTGTCTAGTCTTGCTTATTACTATTGTTTATGCTCATTATATTGAAAATGTGTCCAATATCTAATATTGAAATATGCAAAATTTTGCTTAAATCCAGCTTCACCTGATTCACCTTTCACGTAATTCACCTTGGTAAAAGGTGAACTAGGTGAGGCTGGATCGAGGGCTGGATTAAAGCAAAATTTTTTATATAGTTTATCGAGACGCGTAGCGTCGAGATAAACTGAACCTCGAGACAGCAATGAAGTTTCCCGTCAAGGTTTGTATACTATTTTATTTTTAACCATAATTTCTTGAAAAAAAAATAAAATAAATTCGTGACAACCAAATAAATGAGGTCGGGAAATGAGGACGGAAAAAATTTCCCGTCCTCATTTCCCGTCCTGGGACAGGTAATGGACCAGGAAAATGAAAAGACAGAAATGTGACATTTTCAAATTTTTGAAAAGTCAGTAATGACAACATTTCATATATGGTTAAAAATTAAAAAAAATAAATTACAAAGTTGTTTGATACTTTAATATGCATTAGTTGAAAATATTTTTGAATATACAGGGTGCTGCGTTTATGGGGTATGCGACAGAACTTTGTTATTTTTAATAGAACACCCTATAGGTATGTGATTGCATATTTGGATTCTACGTAAAATTCTGAGCAGATTTTATGTAATATACCATTACCCTATACCTAAGTTCAACTGTTTTGAAAATATTGACAGTTGAAAATTGACTTTTTGCAACTTTGACAGGCTGTAAAACCTAAACGGTTAATTTTAGACGAAAACCTATTTCACATTCCTATCATAGATTTTTATAAACTATCATTTGACTCCAACTTTGAATTTAATCCATGATTAAAAATTCCAGTTAAATTTAATCTCCGGTTAAATTCGAAGTTGGTGTCAAATGATAGTTTATGAAAATCTAAGACAGGAATGTGAAATCGGTTTTCGTCTAAAATTAACCGTTTAGGTTTTACAGCCTGTCAAAGTTGCAAAAAGTCAATTTTCAACTGTCAATATTTTCAAAACAGTTGAACTTAGGCATAGGGTATAAGTATTACATAAAACCTGCTCAGAATTTTATGTAGAATGCAAATATGCAATCACATATAGGGTGTTCCGAGGGGCGTTCTATTAAAAATAACTAAGTTCTGTCGCATACCCCATAAACGGAGCACCCTGTATATTCAAAGATATTTTTAACTAATGCATATTAGAGTATCAAACAACTTTGGTATTTAAATTTTTTTTCTTGTATCACCCTGTAAGGAGATATCGTCCGATATCGCACTAAGTGGACACCAGAGCTGTCGGTAGTTGAATTAAAATAATTGAAAAATTGTTTTTAATTACTTTTCGTAATTGAATTACTTTAATTCAATTACCGAAAAAAAATAGTAATTGTAATTGATTTTAAATTACTGAGATGAAATAATTGTAATGGGTAATTGATTTTAACAATTTTCAGGTAATTCAATTACTTTCAGAGTAATTGAATTACTTACAAATAATTTAATTAGTTTAAACGTAATTGAATTACTTTTATGAATTGAACTACGGAAAAGTAATAATTGAAATTTCAAATTCTATAGCACCTTTGGCGGAATTTGATCTGGTTTCAGTGAGAACGACTAGCAACTGTTTTCTTTTTTCGCCCTTTGTCGGCCTGCCGTCAAAAGCATACCCAGAGCTGTCAGTAATTGAATTAAAATAATTGAAAAATTGAATAATTCAACTACTTTATGCGTAATTCAATAGACCTATCTCGCATGATTAGAAAAAGAGAGCTTAATTGTAATAAATACAAGTTAGAAAGCAATAAAAGATGACATGCGCGCGCAACTCGTAGGCTGCTCTGTAGCCAGATTGTATTGTTGCAGAATAAATGTAGACAATACAAATCGAATATTATAACATTAAAGAAGTGATATAGTGTCAAGTGTTTTACAATGCCTTAGGTATATCAGACAAAAGAAGAGTTTTAAAGTGGATGAACATCGTTTGCACTTTTATTTTGATAAATGTTTCCTCCGGCAACATGGCTCAATGAAATTGCAAAGGAATATGTCAAGTATAATCTTAAACGAAACTGTGGTGAGTTCAAGTAATATGTAAAGAATTAGTTTGCTCTTTGTCAAATTACACGTTACAAAGAAAGAAGGAACAATTCATTCTGAACTGGCCCCTGAATAAGAATATGACGCAAGCCTGTCACAAACTTGCTTCTCATTGGACGCTCACCTGCAGCCTACAAGCGACGCGCGCAGTCCAGGTAATAGGAGATAGGTCTATTACTGAAAAGTAATTTAATTACTCAAGAAGTAATTCAAATAAATTAGTAATTCAAATAAAGTATTTGCATACATAATCAATTACTTTCAACAGTAGTTGGTAATTGAACTACATTTTGACAGTCTATAAGTAATTGGTAATTGTAATTCAATTACTTGAGAAGAGTAATTGCGACAGCTCTGGTGGACACCCTGTATAAGTATAGTTACTCTATATTCAATCTATTTTTCTGTCAGATCTTCGCCACTTCTTTCTTGATCTAACAAATTAAACCTTTCATTGTTATTTAAAATTGATGGAAACCTATGGACGGATATTGTATCCCTTGCGCTATACTGCCTCAATTAACAACTAAACAAACTCTAGGCATGTCCAAGAAACTTCTGGATCACACAAAAGGTATTTATTTTAAAAAATCTAACTAAAAACTTAAAAACCACTGTAAATTAAAGTGTGTTTTTTTTTTAAAGATAAAAGTCAAACTGACATTATGTTGGCAATACAATGTAAAATTGTCAATGCTTTCAAATTTTTTATGTAGAAAAGGCTTGTATTGCCAACATAGTTACTAAATTTTTGACTTGGGCAATTATCTTTAAAAAAAAACCAGATTTTATATCTTTGTTCTACCTCAAGGCGACTGTCAATAGTGTCAAACTGTCAGATCGTGTACTTGCCCTATACTAGCTGACGTCACACGCATAACCACACTTTGGAGGGGGAAACAAACAAAACGTTTTGAGGACTATTTATACACATAGGCGCTAGCTAT